TCAGCCTTTTTCTGTGAGGGCAAAAGGAATGCACACAGTTCATTTCAAAAATAGTCTAGAATTTAAGTAAATAAATGTGTGACTTTTCAGTTGATAACCTCAGTTATATTCGCCCTGGGACTAACACTTTAGTAGAACCTAAACAGCAACAACCTGAATATTTATTCAAACATTCCACAACACAAAACCAAGGACATCCAAAATTAAACAAGAGGCTAAAATCTCACACTTAATGAATTGTCAAGGAGTCAATCAGGATACCTTCAGACAAAACAGAAATTAAAAAAAAAAAAAAAAAAAAAAAAAAAAAAAAAAAAAAAAAAAAAAAAAAAAAAAAAAAAACTATTAAAACAACCAACCACACTAACCCAAAACAACTGCAAATCATTGAATAATCTACTCAACAGTATTAATCTAGAAGTTATTTAAAGAAAGAAATACTCATGAAAATAATTATGCAGCAAGGATTTCCCATACCTGGAAAACCTCAGAGAATTCAGTCCCATCTTCCTCAAGAGTTAGCCTGAGCAGCATACAGACTTACTCTCTTCAGGTTTAGATATTTTTATTGTTGTTTTTTTAATTAATTAAATAGGGCCTTTAGTTTTAGCCTGGAACACAAAGAACTCAAGCGAACTGAATCAAGATGGACAGGGATTATTTTTTTAATACATCTCAAAGTCTTAACTGTGAAATGCAGAAGGCTTCAGTTTTAGCCAAATGCTGGAGTTTTAAGCAAAAATTTTCAAAATTACTTGGGGTAGGGTGGAAGAAGAGATATAAAATAACTCTTTTCCCAAATTTTCCTTCCCTTCTGCAAAGCTTATTTTATCTTTTAAAAAAATTTGGGCCTAATCGTCTTCATTACAAAAATGCAAGAATAAACAAAAATAACAAAATCTTGAGAAGTGAACTGACTTCTTCAAATTAAATATGTTTTAAAATCATAAAGCTCAGATATTTAGTCTGTGCGTGAGATTTCTTTCAACCTATCATTACCAGGATGCAGATAGGAAGAACAGGATGAGTGTAGTATAATAATAAGGCACTAATTAATTTGTGGCTGCTTTTAAGAAGATCTTAGAATTATTCTGGGTGAAATATAATGCAATGCATGAAAATTAAAGTGGCAGATTATGAATATTGCAAAGATAATAATTTATATTTTGCTTGTAAAATTACACACCATGCAAATTTTCATGTCTATAATGTTACATTTTAAGGCTGATTATCTTCCCTTTTGATTGAAAGCATATTTTTACTGGACACACAATTATAGATACACATATAATGGTGTATACCACTGCACCAGCAGAGAGTGTGTACCTCTGAGAAATAAATTATAACTATGTGATACTTACTATTAACATTATGAAGTATGCAAGTATTTAAATTTTAGACTAATAAGTTCTGATGATCAATATAATCACAGATTAAGTATAAAGCCTCTTTTGCTTAAGAACCTCAGAAAAGGTTGAGAGAGGCCAAGGTCCATTTTTGGCAGTTCTTTTACTCAGTGTTTCTGAAAATCCAGAAGATTATGCATACACAAAAGACCAACAGAGTCATGCTTGCTTTAACACTTTTACTCTTTTCTGATGTAACTTTTGAAAGAGTTATTGTATAGAGTCCCAAAAGATACAGTGCAACCTAACAGCTCCCTGCTGCAAAAGCGAATTTGATGAAATTCTGCTGGACACATGTTAAAACAACTACTGAGGAGCAGAACCACACAAAAAGAAAAATCTTCCAGTAGCAATTTTTTTTTCATTTACTCAGCTACTGTACAGCCTATGATGACTTGTTTTCCTTTAGTTATATGAACAGTTTGACAGATTACTGTGACAAGGTTACTCTCAAATTGATAAAAGGTTTGATAGTGTCGGAACATTTGTCAGAAATGTCTCACATCACGTGTAATGGACTCTGCACTTCAAGCATCAATGGTACTCCAGTCTGCTATTTTCTGTTTAGTGTGCAGTGCACACCAACAAAAACACACAGCAGAAAGACAGAAAAGCAGGCAGGATTCATCAAAACAGCCCTGTACTTTATCAAACCATTCTGATTAAAGGGGTTTTGTTTTCTTAACCCACTTCACAAAATGAAATTAAGTGAAAAACTTTACATGTGACTTGAAGGGTGGCCTCCATATGGGACTAAACCTAAAAATGGGATGGGATATGATAATGTACATAAATGTGTTTACAACATTTCCTGTACTTCTGACAGGGAAATATTGTGGGTTTAGGACATTATTCCTCAGCCTGACAAATGTGAGACATTAGAAATGATAGTTGTACTGCTAGCAGCCTTGTCCCATGCTAGAGCAGAGGAAATGGGTTCAGAAGGGCTCACTTTAGGCACTGGCAGCTAGCCTATGGGAACCAGTATGCTGGACATAAGCCAGCTTTGGTGAGTACTTCCCTCAAACAGCTCTCCAAAAATATTGTACTACAAAATAATAATATGGTTTATGGATTGGAATTAAGGTTTTCACTTCACATCTTGCAGCAAATGATGTTAATATTAGGCTATGCTGGAAGCCTAGGAGCCAGCACCTTCTGCTCATTTGTAAATATCTGTTCACGTGAAGACTTTAGTGCTTGGTGAAGCCCCAGCCATGTAAGCTAGAAGAGAGCTCTACCTAGGGCAACATTTCTGAGCAGAAAAATCCTTTTTGTTCATATAGCAGCAGACTGTTGGGTTTGGTTTTAGTGGGGTTTTGGGGGAGAAGGGTTGGGTTTGAGGGTCTTTTTAGATGAAGAGATAGGAGCTTTGGACATTTATCTACTTCTACTGTGTAACCACCTGCAAAGGTTAAGAAAATATCTTGCAAGTATTACTTAAAATCTGCACATTGCTGTCATGAGCAAGAGTATCTGAGATTGCTTAAAAAAATCACTGTCAAGGGTATGAGCAAAAGTCAGATTTAAGCATTTCTTCTCAGATCATACTGCAGCCTGGCAAGCAGTGCACCACCACAGCAGCCAGTACAAATTCTTGTATTTTCATGTTTAAGTTTCCCTACACTGTCTTTCTCTTCTGCCTTGAAAAATTCTTTTAATTTTCTGGAAAAAAAAAGGGTCAGAAGAACTATCTGGTTTCTCTTACTGACATTCAGCCAAAGGATAGAAAAATCAGCAAAATGAGTGTCAGCACTTTTCTTAAAGAGCATCTGTTCACACAGGAACCTCATGACAGCCAGACAAAGCCCTCTAATCTTGTATCAGATTAAGTGTAGCAGAGCACATTAAAAATGTTGCCACAGTGCTAAAATGAAGCTCTGAGGTACTTGATTTGCACTTCCCATACGTAGACAAGGGGTAGGGACACACTCTCTGAACTTCATGATTCAAGTATCACTGCTTACACCACAGCTCACACCATGACAGCAGCACTTAAGCACCAAAGCTGTGAGGCTCATTTAGGAATAGTTAGCTCAGCCCTGATCAGCTGAAAGGATTTATGTGAACTGGAGAAGGGTCAGACTGCAAGATGTATTGCAAAACAGCTTTTTGAACATCAGTAGACTACAGTCAGTTTATACCTACTGAGGATCTGGTCTTGAACTGGGATTATTTGTGACTGTCACGTGTGGAAAGTGTCAGTGTATGTAGTTTGTACAAATGTTGGAGAGGTTTCACTCACATTTCAGCTTGCATGAAATACAAAACATCACCAGCATACTATTCTCCTGTGAACTGTGAGTCTGTTCTACCCACAGAAACTTTAATAGCAGAAAGTCACAGGGAAGACTTTCAAGCTCATTCAAGTCCAGGTATCACTTCAGTAAGGCTGCTAACTCCAATCCTGGCCAGTCATGCCCACATAAAGAGTACTCAGGGAAGTCTTTCAGGATTTTAAATCAAAATCAGAAAAGGCAGAATGTCATAACATTGTAAAAACCCACTTAACTGCTACTCCTCTTGCAAGCTTAAAAATAACAGTCATTTGGATTCAGGTCTGTAGATCAGCCCCACACTGTTCCTTACTTTACCAGATTTCATTTATTGATACCTATTTGAAAGGCTGATTTTTGATGACAAAATACAGAGATGATGTTGTCTTTTGAAATAGATTACTCTATGGCCAAAGCACTGCAGTTCTGCATCATAACAAAAGTGGATTTTTATTTTTCAAATTTCTCCTTGTGCTTATTTTGACACAAAAAAATATTTGTTATGCTAAATTCCACCATGGTGATCTCTGACTGGAATCTCAAACTGGATTATTCCCCTTCCACATGTCAACAATAATAAAGAATTTGGAATTCCAATCAGGTTGTCATTTTATATTGCCCACTACATGTAGTCAAGAGAAAAAGGGTAGAAGAGTGCCATGTTTTAGGAAGTAGTTCTTTTGATGATGAATGAGGACCGAAGAGCTCCTTTATCCCACTTCTTTGGTTTCAACAGAAATAAAACATAATAAAACCTTATTCAACAGAACAGTCTGCAAATATGACTCTCAAGATAAACAGGGAAGTAGAAGCTGCCACTTTCTGCAGGATCATTTTTCAATGGCACTGCTGTTAATTAAATGTTAATTATATGGCTACAAGGCCACCTTCAGTGGGTTTCATACTTCTCAATCTTTGAGCCCAGCAATGTGACACAGCAATCATAAAATGTGATAAATGATTGAGGGAGAAACACCCATGTTGTGTTGTGCATGGGTTGTGATTCACAGATCATTATGACTATAAAATCTGTCATTAGGGAGGTTTTCCTGCCATGAATATTCTCCTTTTAACATAAGAAATCAACCAGATTAGAGCAAACAGAAGTCACCATGAAGGCCCTCACCTCTCTTCCCCTAAACTCATTTACCTCAAGGTTTTTAGCAGGCATTAATTTGCCGTTCAACTAAAGGAAAACCACTCAACCTTCAAGTGCAGGAGACTTCTGATGCCTTTTAGGGGCCACACAAGCATAAGCAGGAAGGCCAGCTCTGACATCTTCCTACAGAAAGACACTGAGTATTTGACGGGCACTTACGGCTGGCACAGCTTGATAAGGTCCTGGTCGGTGGTGCCGGGTGGAAGGCCTCGAATGTACAGGTTGGTTTTACTCAACTGCTCTCCGCTGCTGTTGTTGCTGCTGTTGTTGCTGCTGTTTGTGCTGGGGCTGGGAGGAGCCATGGGGTGGGGAGCTGGTGCATAGGACTGCTGGAAACAGAGTAAAACAAAAAGGCTTTTAGCGGAAAAGGCAAAACAGCGTGGCAGAAGCGTGTGCGTTACCTGGGTAAATCCAGAACTATGCCATATTGTCCTCCCCTCCCTGACCACTTCCCGCTGCCCACTCCTATGGCACTTCTACCACTCCCAGCCAGCATTGCCTTTCAAATGCAAAATAGGACCAACCAACATTTTTAGTTCAGCCATAGCTATGAAATGCATTATTCTACTATACTTTTTAATTTGGAATTCAAGTAGCTAGATCACAAAACAAAGCTCTGCAATGACAGATACTCAAGGAGTAACTAGCATTAAAGAAGGAAATTAAACACAATCTGCTCTAAGAGTATGCTAAAACACAAATAAGAATATCTAGCCAAAGGTACAGAAGCTGATGCCAGAAGCCGAGTTAGTCTTTTCTAAACATGAGGAGCACCCAGTACACACACAGTCAGGTGGCAGAGAGTTGGCTAGTCTGAGAAAGGAAAAAACTTCCAAAGCAGCCTAAAAACACTCTGTTGTTAAGGATGTCTTTTGCAATAGAGAAGCAGGGTTTGGAAAAGATGATTAGGCCAAGACCTTCTGCTCTCAAAATCATACCCACTTCTGAACAACCACAAACCACACGCAGCAACTAGGAAGTATTGCTTAAGAAGGGAGGCATTCTCACATGGAAAAACAGTATTCTCCCCTAACTCACTGGTAAATACATGCTGTGAAGAAAGACACCCACATGCTAGAAAAATTACCTAAACATCTCTGATCTGAGGTAACAACTGAGAATTTCAATTGCTGCAACCATCTCTGGCTCTCTGACCACTGGAGTTTTTACTCACAGCACAGGGTACTTGCCAGAAGAACAAAGGAGCAATTGGAGGGAGGAGACCATCCTGTCACCATTATGACCTATGCAGAAAAGCTGGAATCTAGGGAAGAACTTGCAGGAGCTGGAGGATCCTGAGGACCAAGCTCCAGAGAGGCAGCCAGGGGAACTGGAGTCAGAGCTCCCAGAATGTAACTGCCTGCGGAGAGGGTGAAAATCCCATTTCCACAATGTAATCAGCACACTCTGCTAGCTTTATGCATAGTGACAACAGCAGGTAAATATTGAACCAATGCTAAGTTAACTATGCTATGCTAATGGACTAATAAAAGCAAAACATCTGCAATTTTCATTACAGCAGCAATGACACTTTAGTGACTTCTAATATGCTTGTTCTACTTTTAGGCCTTGAACAGAGAAAATATTTAAGTCTGTGAGTAATTCTGATCACGCTAATCAACTGCCCCTTTAATGTCAGTGGCTCTACTTTAGTGCTTATAATTATGCATACACTAAATCACAGTCTTGGTAGATGGATTTCTAAATTAGTAGCTCTACACTCTTTCAAACAAGTCCCTTTGTTTAGTCCCTTATTTAGAATGAAAAAAAAAAGTTGGAGACTATAAGGGGAGCATCAGTGACAGGTGATGATCAGATGTTTCATTGAAATGAAACGCCACACTTGCAGCAATGCCTTTCCTCCTGGCCTCCTCCTTCCTTCTCCCAAGTTTCTTCCATTTAAAGCAGGAGAGAGGAAACATAGCTCCAAGTGTCAAGACATCAGAATTCCTCTGCAATCTCACCTGGTTGTAATGTGACTCAAGTAAGAGCCATTAAAAGAAAAAATACTGGTTTCTAGTGTGATCACCATGCTATCAAGTAATGACATTCACTCTCATCTCCAGTAAAGAGAAAGGGCAATGAGCTCTCTTCCCCAAGTCTCTGCACAGACACTTTTGCTGACAATCAAAAGCACTTAATGCATACGGATCATATTTCTCTGCACACACATTTTATCACTGGGTAATCCCCACCCACTCAAGCTTCAATGTCATTCCCAGAAATAGAGAGCTGAAGCACCAGCTTTTAGTACCAGCAGAGGCAACCACCTCAGCTGAGCCCAAACACTGGGGACACATCTTGGAAATCAGCTCCATGCCGTTGCCACGGCCCAGCTGGATAACACTACAGGCAACACTAACCTATATTAAATACGTAAGCATCTTTATGTTATCATATCCTGTCTGAAAGCATATTTAATCTCTGTGTACTGCAGGACCATAGAAGAAGCAGGTATGACTGTGTATAACATGTTGGGCTTTAATATATCAAGAGCTCAGGAAATATCCCATGGTAATCCTGCACATTTTGAGCATTGTTAAGGTTAAATAAAAAGACAGAGATCAGGATTACATTCTTACTGCCTTACCCTGCACCTCCCAGATTACCACACACACTCAGCGCACATAAGTAACATAGAGCAGTGAAAGATCTTCCCATAAGCCAATTAAGTGCTATGTACGTTAATTATTAATTGTTATTATTATATATGTCTTAGCAGGGAATAGGGAGTATATATCCTATTCTCACACCAACCTAATAAGCAAGAAAAAAAAAAAAAGTGGAAATTTACCATTGAAATACAAAGAGCAATTTTCATTCTAAGATCTTTATCCTCACACATGGGGGCCTAATTCTAATTTAAGTTTAAGACATTTTATCCCTCTCAACCAGTTGAAAGGGGATGTAGAAGTGAACACAAAATACATTTACACCAATTTTGAGGCCATAGTTATTTAAAAAAAAAAGAAAAAAAGATCCTCAGTATACAGAGAATGAGGCTGTCCCTCACGTAAGAGCTGCTCAGACAACAGGCACACAAGCATGCCTGAGTTCCCAGCAGTAACCTCAGAGATGCTTTAAGGGTGGACAGAGAGGTAGCCACACTCCACTTTAGGGGATGCTGATCATCTCAGCCCAGCAAACACTGCTACTCCAAACCCTCTTCACTAATAAATCTCAGCTACAGCAGCCCACAGCAATTTCCATGCATATCCAATACCCCAGAATACCATCTGCAGAAAGATTACAAAATTGCTTGTACTGAGGCTGATGACATCTTCTGGCTGGTTGCCAGGCTAAAAGCTTCAGGTCAGAAGAAAGCTTCCCGTTCTTGTTTCCTGAGCTGCTGAGTGTATGACTGATGGCAGAAGTATGCGCTTTGCCTCTGAAGGAGCAAAGGATCTGGTTTGGTAATCTCCAATAGCTGGAGTGAAAGAAATAACTGGCAACCTAATGGTGATCCCAGGTATGGACCACTTGGTACAGGATCCTGGATGATGCAAAGTAGGGCACTGTCTGAGGAACGACCTGCACACATGGTAGCAGGAAATCTGTGCCTTGTTTTGATTTTTGGCCCCTCCATGGCTGGGGGAAAAGCACTTAACTTCTCTGCCTCAAGAGCCAGAAGGAGCATGCACCACTGTCAAGACTAGTTCGAAACACCATAACACCAGCTGTAGAAACCTGGAAAAGAGGTTTTGCCACCACAACTAAGTACAGGACCTACACTGTTAAGGGAAAAAAAAAAAAATTAAAAAAATAAAAAATAAAAAATAAAAAATCAAATGTTTCACTTCAAAAGAACTGGAATTCAGAGCTGGTTTTGCCATTAACTTTTCACATAACCAATGCAAACAACTCATTTTTCAATTCTCATGCTTCATTATTCAGTGGAGAGTGTGTGGGGAATGAACTGGTTTGTAGATCATTCCAAGCAGCTTATTAATTTAGCATGGATGGCTAATAGGATTTGTTTTCATCTTTGAAAAATGGATGAAATTTCTCCTTTTTCATTATTTAAAAGTGAAAAAATTAATGTGTTAATTCTGATCCATTCTCAGGAATGCACCCTTCTTCTTAAACCCTACATTTCAATTCTTTGAAACAAAGTGTACTGTGAAACTGCACACAGCTAAGCATGAATAATGAGATACACCTTGGTCTTCCTAAGTAAATAACCCAGAAATGCTGAACCAGAAACCTCTTGGATATTAAATGAACAACACTCCTCCTTCCAACACCCAACCTCCTTACACGAGAACAGTATTTATCTTTCCATGGCAACCAAGTACTCTTAGGTAGTTTTTCACTAGTTGCAAGCTTAGACTAAAGTATTTTCTTTCCAAAGCAAAATACTAGTTAAAAAGACAAATTTAAAATATTTTTTCACATACAATTCCTTTTGGATGGGAATCACAGGCCCCAGATGCCAAGTTGTAGAGTCTGCTTTATTAGCAGCAGCTGGCTCCTTGGCAAGCTTCTGAGGCGGTCGGGCTTGTGGTTTTGGAGTGGCCTCAGAGCCTAGGATGCAGCTGGACAGTTATGCTAATGGACTAGCCAATTTGTTTTTAGTCACCTTTGGCTATCCCAGATTTGTACTCTTTTATCCACTTGAAAGGGAAGTCTTGGAAAGATTCCCTATAACACCGATATGTTGACTTTTCCTATCATAGTCCATATTTTATATGAAAAAATGAGTACAACACACAGTCGTACATTAAAACATGTGTTATTTAAGCAATTGTGAACACACACTATCCATTTCACTCTGAATGGAGAGTTTTCCAGCTGCTAGATTCATCTAAGTGCCCAATTACAACACAATTCCCTTCTCTTCCAATTGAGAAAATAAAATAAGACAAAGTAAATACAAATAAATTGTGCAAATACCACTTTACAGCTCACATTAGGAAAACACTGTTCTCTCTACGGTGCAATGGAATAATTTTTGTGAGCTGGAGAGTTCTTACTAGTCAATTATAGAGAAGATGAGAGGATGCCACCAACTTTTACTCTGTTGATGAGATTTTGGAACTGAGTGAACAGAAAATCTCTTATTAAGCAAAAGACAATAATCACAGTTGAAGAGAAAGTAGAGCAGTAAGGGAAATTCAGGGAAAAAGAAACAGATCAAAGTAATAGCAATTCTCCTACCTTTGGTTTGCTTCCTCAGTGAGGAGCAGCACCAGAAGGCAAGTTGTATTTCCCATCCATAGACAGGTAGAAGAGAAAAGTGAATAAAAGATGAACATCTAAGCAGGCAACACAGACACCCCATGTATTTTAGAAAGGCTGCAGTCAAGGGAACTCGAGTTATAATTTTCCT